CCCCATATTATGGGCAGTTAAATTCTGGAAAAATATATCTGTTGTGTCTAATACACACAGGCTTTTCTTTTGTCTTGGACGCGACGTTAAACCCCATTTCACCTCACCTCACCTTTTCTTTTGTATCATTTCAGGCTGTCAGCATAAACCAAGAAATTCATGACCTTTCAACTCTTGTTTTTTTTCACCAAATTTGTATTCTAATAATTTCTAATTTTGAGAACGCCCTGGGCGCTTATTACGTCGAATATGGTAGTTTGTATAAAATGGTATACTGCTGACTTTCAGGTTTGGCATGCAGTACAGCGCTTTGTTTATATAAAAAAAACGTATACCTGGACTTGGAGTTTAACAGTGCTTTTCCAATACAGATAAAGTTTCCAGTCATCGAGTACGACTAACAAGTTGCTACATATTAGTACATTTGTGTTCACGGTTACAATGTTTGACTGTGGTGGACAATCCAAATGATGGCCAAAAGACTTGTCACTAACTGTCATGAATTATTTAGTATTTACCAGTATTTTCATTATAAATATTGAGGAAGTGATTTTCTCAAGCTTTGTTCTAAGACAATACCAAGCTTACAATATTCTTGTTGGCTGTATTCAAATTATCCATTGATTGATTTTATTCAGTCAACAGCTACCCCTGGCTACCTATGGAAGCAAAGGGTAGGAACATGTTTATTTTTCTTGGTGCATGTAGATTGTTTAGGAAACATGTTTCACTGTTGTGTAGAACAGAACATTGATTTTAACATTGAGTTATGTGATGTCTTGCAATGTGCACAGCCAGCAGTGGGTGAGGGAAGGAAATGTTAGCATATAGGAAGTAGGCCTCTTGCCAAGATTTGTAACATACACAGCTGAATTTCTTGACTGATCATCAGGTTAGAGTTTTGCTTTGACAATTTTATTGTTTTATTTTCCGAGTTACAAGAACACTCTGTGATGTTTCACTTCCTCAGACACAGCCTCGATTTAGTAATTGCATTCTCACTCACTCCAGCAAATTTTCACTCCGTCCAAGAAATTCTCACTCCACGTTTTCACTCACATCATTTTCTTATTCACTCCTTCACTATCATTTTCTCACTCACTCAATAACATTGTCACTTTCTCTGTTTCACTAAATCACATTCTCACATTCTCTCTCACCGCTAGGAACATTCAGACACCCACTCATTCATGACCACAACCACCAGAAACTTCAATCCAACTATCTGTCCACTGTTCCCACCTACCCAGTCACCCACCATCCACACACTCGCCCACCATCCACTCTCTCACCCGACCGATCACCCACCATCCACTCACTCACCCAACCAATCACCCACCATCCACTCACTCACCCAACCCTATCACCCACCATCCACTCACTCACCAACCCTATCACCCACCATCCACTCACTCACCCGACCAATCACCCACCATCCACTCACTCACCCAACCCTATCACCCACCATCCACTCACTCACCAACCCTATCACCAACCTATCACCCACCATCCACTCACTCACCCGACCAATCATCCACCATCCACTCACTCACCAACCCTATCACCCACCATCCACTCACTCACCCGACCAATCACCCACCATCCACTCACTCACCCGACCAATCACCCACCATCCACTCACTCACCCGACCAATCACCCACCATCCACTCACTCACCAACCCTATCACCCACCATCCACTCACTCAGCCGACCAATCACCCACCATCCACTCACTCACCAACCAATCACCCACCATCCACTCACTCACCAACCAATCATCCACCATCCACTCACTCACCCGACCTATCACCCACCATCCACTCACTCACCCGACCAATCACCCACCATCCACTCACTCACCAACCCTATCACCCACCATCCACTCACTCACCCGACCAATCACCCACCATCCACTCACTCACCAACCAATCACCCACCATCCACTCACTCACCAACCAATCATCCACCATCCACTCACTCACCCGACCTATCACCCACCATCCACTCACTCACCCGACCAATCACCCACCATCCACTCACTCACCGACCAATCACCCACCATCCACTCACTCACCAACCAATCATCCACCATCCACTCACTCACCCGACCAATCACCCACCATCCACTCACTCAACCAACCAATCACCCACCATCCACTCACTCACCAACCAACCATCCACCATCCACTCACTCACCCGACCAATCACCCACCATCCACTCACTCACCCGACCAATCACCCACCATCCACTCACTCACCAACCAATCACCCACCATCCACTCACTCACCAACCCTATCACCCACCATCCACTCACTCACCCGACCAATCATCCACCATCCACTCACTCACCCGACCAATCACCCACCATCCACTCACTCACCTGACAATCGCCCACCATCCACTCACTCACCCGACCAATCACCCACCATCCACTCACTCACCCGACCAATCATCCACCATCCACTCACTCACCCGACCAATCACCCACCATCCACTCACTCACCAACCAATCACCCACCATCCACTCACTCACCAACCCTATCACCCACCATCCACTCACTCACCCGACCAATCACCCACCATCCACTCACTCACCAACCAATCACCCACCATCCACTCACTCATTAACCAATCATCCACCATCCACTCACTCACCCAACCAATCACCGACCATCCACTCACTCACCCGACCAATCACCCACCATCCACTCACTCACCAACCAATCACCCACCATCCACTCACTCACAAAACCCTATCACCCACCATCCACTCACTCACCCGACCAATCACCCACCATCCACTCACTCACCAACCCTATCACCCACCATCCACTCACACACCCGACCAATCATCCACCATCCACTCACTCACCCGACCAATCACCCACCATCCACTCACTCACCCGACCAATCACCCACCATCCACTCACTCACCAACCAATCACCCACCATCCACTCACTTACCAACCCTATCACCCACCATCCACTCACTCACCCGACCAATCACCCACCATCCACTCACTCACCAACCAATCACCCACCATCCACTCACTCACCCGACCAATCATCCACCATCCACTCACTCACCCGACCAATCACCCACCATCCACTCACTCACCCGACCAATCACCCACCATCCACTCACTCACCAACCCTATCACCCACCATCCACTCACTCACCAACCCTATCACCCACCATCCACTCACTCACCAACCCTATCACCCACCATCCACTCACTCACCCGACCAATCACCCACCATCCACTCACTCACCAACCAATCATCCACCATCCACTCACTCACCAACCAATCATCCACCATCCACTCACTCACCCACCCACTCACCATCCACTCGCTCACCCAACCAATCACCCACCATCCACTCACTCACCAACCAATCACCCACCATCCACTTACTCACCCACCCACTCACCACCTCACTTCTCTTCCTCCCTCCTACTCACGTGTTCACTTATTCCAATCCTTACCACAAGCCATTAATAAATATATCTTGTATTTTTGCTGTTCCAATAATTTGTATTTGCCTAGCATACAAATAGACAGGCTAGCAGCAGTAACCTACATGTACAGAAACTAACAACCACCTGCATTATTTTACATTCTTATATGTACTGAACAAAGAAAAAGGTTAGCGGTCAGGAATATTTTGGGGGATATTTTTTAAATTGTGTGGTCACTACAAATAAATATCCCCAAAATATTTAAGATCCCTAACTATTTTTGTTCTGTATTTATTGTTCCTGGTTTGACCAGTGCGTTAGTGTGTCATACTGACCCTGAAACAAATATATCCAATGCAGCCCATGCAAGTCTATAATGTTTGGCAAGTCTAGATTTCTGCAGTATCAGGAGAATGAAGAAAGTCTCTGGGCTCCTTTTTATTATCCCCCGCCACGCGATAGCGAAGCGGGGGATATAGTATTCACGACCGTCCGTACGTACGTCCGTACGTCCCACCTGTTTGTTGCCGCGATATCTCAAGAACTAAACACTGGATTGTCTTCATATTTGGAACTATGGTGTATAAACAGACTCCGCAGACACCAGTCGGTTTTGGTGACCTTGACCCCATTTTCAAGGTCACAGCAGGCATATCTGCTTTTGGAGTTGGAAAACGGTGTTGCCGCGATATCTCAAGAACTAAACACTGGATTGTCTTCATATTTGGAACTATGGTGTATATACAGACTCTGCAGACACCAGTCGGTTTTGGTGACCTTGATCCCATTTTCAAGGTCACAGCAGACAAATCTGCTTTTAGAGTTGGAAAACGGTGTTGCCGCGATATCTCAAGAACTAAACACTGGATTGTCTTCATATTTGGAACTATGGTGTATATACAGACTCCGCAGACACCAGTCGGTTTTGGTGACCTTGATCCCAATTTCAAGGTCACAGCAGACAAATCTGCTTTTAGAGTTGGAAAACGGTGTTGCCGCGATATCTCAAGAACTAAACACTGGATTGTCTTCATATTTGGAACTATGGTGTATATACAGACTCCGCAGACACCAGTCGGTTTTGGTGACCTTGATCCCATTTTCAAGGTCACAGCAGGCAAATCTGCTTTTGGAGTTGGAAAACGGTGTTGCCGCGATATCTCAAGAACTAAACACTGGATTGTCTTCATATTTGGAACTATAGTGTATATACAGACACCGCATACACCTGTCAGATTTGGTGACCTTGACCCCATTTTCAAGGTCACAGCAGGCAAATCTGTTTTTGGAGTTGGAAAATGGTGTTGCCACAAAATCTCAAGAACTAATCGCTGGATTGTCTTCATATTTGGTACTATGGTGTACAGGCGGGGGATATTTCGTCACTCTGTGACAAATACTTGTTATATTTTAATACTATAATTTAACAACTGTTTTTTCTGTAAAATATGTTCATTTCAGAGACTAGATGTTAGGCTACCAGTACCTCAAAATATGGGTTTCTCCTGTCTTCTATCTGATTCATCTTTATCTTCAGGTCTTCCGAACTTCGTGGGTGACTTGGCAATCCGAAGTCTGCAGTCGCTCCACACAGACAGAGAACAGAGCTCCAGTGATGAGTCCTCATCACCCAGAAGGTGACACACACGAACCTATATAGCCATCCTGTCTCATGTTGTATTATGTTTTCATATATCACGATTTCATTCAGTCTGTGACTTTTGACACCCAGGTCTGCCAGTATAGCCAAATTTATTTGGGTTAAGTGAACTTAGCTAATAGTCCATATGTTCTGATCAGAATCGTTTGTTCGTTCGTTCGTTCGTTCGTTCGTTCGTTCGTTCGTTCGTTCGTTCGTTCGTTCGTGAGTGAGTGGCTGGCTGGCTGGCTGGCTGGGTCTGACCAGGTCTTTGTCTTATGACGTAGTACATAAAACTACCTTAGGTAACCTTTTGTTCACAAAAATATACCAGGTCCGAATTTGGTCACCAGAAATGTACCCTACTGTTCGGTGCCAACGCCATGGCCAAGTTCATTCCATTTGATACCAAACTGGTTTACTCTGGTTGCATTTTCCCAGTTCGTAGACAAAATGGCGGAAGGACAGATGGCCCGCGTGAAGCAGGAGAAACTCGTTAGTCTTTTGTCGAAATTCTGCATTCAGGAATTCTGCGTTCATTTTCATTTTGATCGTTTTCACTGAGGGAGTAAGAAATATGGATAAGATTGATTGTAGTGTTAAATCATCATTAATATTTTCGAGTGCGTTGTCACCATCTTTCTCAGAAAAGACATTTTCTGATGAGAGTTTGTTTAATGTGAAACTGGTTTCAGAATGGGGGTTTGCCGCGTCCATTGTACCCCCATTGTCAAGCAAGGATCTTATTTGACCACGGTATTAGGATCTATAGCGAAATGTCGCCATTACAGTAAATACGGAAGTTGTTATCCATAAATTGTGTCTACGTTTTCATCCGTCAACTGGAAATGCCGTCAAGAAATGCCATCAATCAATTCATTGACTGGAACATCTACACAAATATAATTGAACATCTGTTGTTGATAATTATTCCATTTATCACATCATTAATTTGATAATGTCCATGTTAACAAAAGCAGTCCATTCATTTTTAACCAAATAACAAAAATCTTGATTCACTGAGACATTTCTGACTCGTCATGGTCGTGTATTAATGGGACTATGTACCGGTGTATGATTGATGTCAGGCTGCTGTTTAGGAATACTGACTGAATGATGAATGAAAGTTGATTGATAACATATTTCTCGACACACTGATTAACAGTCCGGTACATTACTGAAGAAACGTGGAATGTCCCTGGAAAGTATTCACAAACCATGTGTCAAGTCCTTATGCAACTGGTGTCTGTTAAATGACATGTGTGTCATCAGTGCTGATTTGTTGACAGCCCTGGAACCCCCAAGTCTGGCTCCCCGCTGGTCAGCCCGTGCAGGGTCAGACTGCAGGGGCAGACAACTCCACGGAAGTGTGGGCCAATGAGAGCTGACCACAGCCTCTGCTCCAGCACTTCCAGCATCGGACACTCTGACAGGCAAGAATATTTTGATCACACAGAGTTTGACATTTAAAGTATGTCAGCTGTAACTCTTGAGAATCCTCTAGCCTTTCTGTGATTTTACTAGCTGCCCAACCTTTTCTGATAAAGTTCTGTATTGAATTGTATTGGGGAATTGAGAAAAGGTGTCACCAGAAGTAACTAAATAACATTATAATACAACTTTGTTTAATTTTATGTACTGACAAAGTTTTAGATCATACATGAACATATGATGACAAAAGAAAGTTATGTATGGATTATTTTGTTTTTTTGTTTAGCTGAAATGAAATATTAATATAAATATCCCATAGTTTTAATGTTTGTAAACCAATTATAAAAATCTATGACTTATTTCAAAACGTCTGAAGGGAACATAATATGGTTCAATGACTGTGAGACAGACTTTATTACTTTTTGTCTACCTAATACAATTGTCTCCTTATAAAGATTTTGTTTAGAAAACATATGAATTTAAAATTTAAATAATATAAAAATAGATAACTTTTAAAGTTAGCTGTCTATTTGTGAGGTGACCTCCCCAACATCCAATTGTATAGTTGGAGACCCTCCTGAATTAATCCTGTCAAGATTCTGTGGTGTACCATTGCTGATTGCCATTTAAAACCTCATTCTCTTTTTCTGGTCATCAAATTCCTGTTCAACTGAAAAAGTTCAAATGGAGTTTTATTATTTTCTTAAAGTTTTGATATAGACTTATCATTTTGTTAGGATTTTTTGCAGCAGTAATTTGGCTTCACTGACATCAAAGGTACCTAAAGTTTCAGCCCAGCGACAATGCAACTGATATGAACTTGAATAACAAAGTGCCTTAACAACTTTGTACATATTAACTATAATATGATTTGGTTCCTCGGACATGAAATGTGATCTTGTCTTCTTCCTGCAGGGAACTGGAAGACATCCATCTGAGGACTCTGACATCACCCAATGGAACTCTGCCATCACAGAGATCTGTTGACGACACGGTGGAAGATGCTCTGGATGACACAGATCCTTCTCTACAAGCTCCCTCAGCCTCTCACTCTGAGAGAATCGTGGCAGAGCGATACCGGAAAGGGAAGAAGCAAGTGTATCGGGTCAGAACCCGTACCACTTCACCCCTGTTCGGCAGGGCTACTCCTGTAGTGACCCCACAGAAGTCAGACAGTGATGTGCAATCAGATAGAAGCATTCTTCTTGATATGAGATTCAGTAACTCCTTTGACCAATCACAATACGTGTCTTATGTAACAGAGAATTCAGTGCAAAGCAGCCAATCTGAGTCAGGTTCACTAAAATCGAAAAGTCTGAACGATTTATTTCAAAATGATGTGGAGAAAAGGTTACGATTGTTGCTTGAGAATGGTGGTCCACATTACAACTCTGAGGTCATATTAAATGATACCTATAGCAGTTCAACAGACTATCCATTGTATGGTGATGAACATTATGTCATCAATGACAACTTTACGCTCAGTCCTAGGTCAGAAACGAATGAACAAATGACAGTCGCGATGGACGACATTGGTGAATCAAAGACAGAGGACCTCCTTTCTGATGACTCCAAAGATATGTCATCACTTGAATGTTCCAGTTTGAGTGAACAATCCCCTGTTTATTCCAAAGTTAAGACAATCTCAGGTCAGGAAAAAAGTCCAAAGAAGTATGTGAGTGAAATAACAGTATTCCCAAAGTTATTTGATGATAATAAGGGTATTATGAAAACCGTCAAAGATGAACATTCGGAAAGCCAAACTCGGAATGTTGGAGCTTCCAGAGAGAATTCGTTAACTAGTGACAGTGATCCGAGTTTCAGTCCACGGATCAAGGACACTGATACCGAATTCTTCATGGAAGCAGAGTTCCTTGATGCGGCTATGAAACCAAAGAAAAGCAGATTTCAAAAACTGTTTGGTGGCAAGAAGGGTAGGTATAGCCCGTCTGCCCAGGATATGCCCCCATTGTCTGCTGGAGGCCACAGCCGGCAGGTACCCAGAAAACAAGCAGTGAAAACTGCAGCACCAGATCTTGTTCTGGCCCAGGAACATGCCAACCAAAGTCAGACTGACCTAGTCAAGGAAGAGTTAGGTGAAAGTGTGGTTGATCAGATGATCACTGGGCATTTGGCTCAGCAGTCAAGGAATTTCAAGGATGAGATTACTAATTCTGGGCATTTGACTCAACAGTCAAGGAATTGCAATGATGAGATTACTGATACTCGGCATTTGACACAGCAGTCAAAGGAGGTAAGAGTCGAGAGAACTGTGAAGGATGTGAGGTTTAGTGTTGAAAGAACTCTTGATGATACGTGTATTGAGAGCTACAGTGGGAGTCTGCTTAGAGAAGGAAGAATTACACCCTGTGAATCATCTGTGTTAAGAGACAGGCATGAACCGGCTGATGTGATAAGCAGAGATGAAAAGGACGGTGTGTTTTTGGCTAGTCCAGTGGTGATTTCATCAGGGAGAGGATCCTGTTTGGATCTTGGTGTATCTGATGACAACATACCACAACTAGACGCTGTATCAGATCCTGACATGTCGAGAGTGTGCATGTCGGGGTTTTCAGCACAAACTGATCAATCAACTCCGTACATGTTTGACAGCGTGACATCCTCAGAAAAGCCTTTGGTGGGCTGTGAAACTAGCAATACCATTTCCCACACAACTGACACTGATGTAGAATCTTCTATCAATACTGCTTCCCACAAAACTGATGTGAATGTAAAACTCGGCAGTACTATTTCCCATACAACTGATCCTGATTTCGTAACCTACAATACTGCCTCCAACACAACGGATCATGACATGTCATATTTCTCAGAAGGTTTTGATCATCTTGAAACATTTGATGAAAGGTTTGACGGCAGTTTTTCAGTCAGTGGGTCAGATCACCTGAATAACTCCCTCTCAGCCAGATCAATATGGAGTGAATGCAAAGACCTAACGGAGGCAGATAATAGTTTTGAGGATGTCTTTGATGGCAGTTTCACACCCAGGAGTACTGAAAGTAAGGAGCCATCTTGTCAAATTAAAGAAGAAGGTGACTTGAAAGAAGAAAAGGAAAAATCTTCTGGATATGGATCAGAAAATTCACGCCAGACTTCAGAGACAAGGGATGAGCCTTTCAGTGATGAAGAGAAATCGAATCACAGCAAGGTTATAGTGGAGATACCCAGGCATCCATCTGTAGATCTGAATGATGAAGATGTGGATAGGATATTTGAGATGGCTAAGGACCCTCCCACCTTTGCTGCTGTGGATGATGCCTTGTCCTTTGGGGAGTTGAACACCGATTACAGTGTTGTACTTGATTCGAAAGGGATGAATGATATTGTTGAAGAAGCTGAACCTGTGGCCTTTCAGGCAAATTCACCTATAAAAGTGAAATCTGATAGTGAAAGTGGGGAGATATGTGATGAGTCTATAGTTCCTCAGCTGTCTCATCAGTCTCCACCCATGTCCAAAAATAAGGTTCCCTCAAGACTCTGTAAAGGAAATAGCCAGATGACTTCTAGTACTTGTTCTGATGATATAGAAGATATTGCAGATGCAGGATCCACAGCATCCAAGCTGTATGAGAGTGACGAGATGGGGATGTCATCAGAAAGCGAGGCTATCCGATCTGCCTTTGACTTCCTCAGTTCATCATCAGAAGTTGAGGCTCTGACCTCTGCCCGTGATAGACTCAGAATATTAGAGGAAGAGGACAGTGGAGAAGACGAGGATTTGGCATCATCCATCAAGATTCTATCTGACCTGAGGAAAAGCCTCCTCAGTGAGAATGAAGACCTACTTTTTGAACAAGGATTTATTCATGAAGAGGTCACTGAAATTGAAAGGGAAGACTCCAAGCCCCCATCTCCTCCAACTATATCCGAAGATGATGACTCCAGTTTCCAAGTGGATCCTAAACCAGCCGGGATCCACGTTGAGATCCAGGTGGACATACATCACTCCAATGTTGAGGACTCGGATAACGGCAGTGAGATAGATGCGCCCCTGGATGTTCTGGATGAGGAAACCATGGTAGGGGCGGGGATGTTGTTGCTGCCGGAGAATCATGTTGATGATGATGATGAAGCAACAACTCCAAGACCTATGGAGGAGGATCTGGATGCCAGTATTAATCCTTTCAATAGAACGTTCACTGTATCAGCTGACTGCAATGGGGATGATGTGAGTATTAAATCATCCAATTTAGCTACCAGCGGTGGCCTGGTGAGATCGAGTTTGGCAGATGAGCTGAAGCTCCCACTATGGGAGAAGTTTCCTGACTTGTCGTCTTCAGAAAAGAGCACGCCAAGAGGATATGAATCTTCAGCTATGGAAGACAGTATTCCAGATAGTTCTTTTGATGTAAGCTACAGATCAGTGGAACTTAACAGTGATGTCAACAAAATCATTCCTTCAGTGTCACCAAAGGCTGTTGACAAGTCTGAAACTGAAAAGACTTTAGATAATCCAGAGATGGATGAGAAAGGCTCCTTGGGTTTAATCAAAGAAGCTTACAGTGACAGATCTAGTGGAGGAATAAGTCAGAGATACATAAAGAAGAGTGAGATGGACAGAAAGAAAGCTCTTCTTCGGCGTCAAAAGGAGGTAGAAAGAGATGAAGTGAATGATGAAGGGGAGGTAATTGAAGATGACTGGGAGAGTCATGGGGAGTGTGTTAGTGAGGATATGGACACAGCAGAACTCACTCTTCATGCACAAAACGAAAGACAGACAACACATCAGAGTGGAAATAATTTCAAGGAATTATTTGAAGATTCTGTTGATGTGGTAGATGGTGCAAACAGAATTGGTCCTGTAGATAATGATGTTTCTGAAAGTACAGTTAGTAGTTTATGTGATATTGCATCATCACGATCGGAGAATTCTGCTCACCAAGCTCCTGAATTCATAATGGGATCCGAAGATGTTTCACCTCGGCATTTGACCCAAACAGACCTTCCCGAAGCTGAGGTCAGTCTCTCTGAAGAAATGGATGTAAGTGGTTCTTCAGGGGAAGTGTGGTTCGATGACCTTAACAACAAGACCTTAAATGAGAGGAAAGGCAGCCTCACGTCAGTCCTGAGTCCTAGGGCTGATGCATATCGTAAAGCAAGTGACAGCTGTGATAGTGCGAAATCTGATGATTCAGCTTCTCCAACTGATTTGATAGAAAATAGATATAACTTACCGGATGTGGTACAAAGTCAAGGACTTCAGCCTGAATCTGATAACAAATTAGGAGATCAAGTCAAAGGGAAAACACGTCGAAAGGAAAATCCATATGCAAGGATTTCCGAAGATGGTTCAATTTCAGATGATAGTCAAGAGGAGTCATTTGATCTTTCTTTGAATTCTTTTATTTCACCTTACGCTACAACTAAATCTCTTGCCAAGATTTCCAGCACACCTAAGAGTCACTATAAATCTAAAGCTGCTGAACTTAGCTGTGATGGGATTGAACCAGTTTATGATCCCTATGCGACAATTGACTCTCCAAAGGGAGATAACTCTGATCGTAGAAAGTCAGGGGGAAGTGATATAAACCCATATGCAACACTGAATGAAGTTACTGCTGCTGACCTAAATGATGGTGTTCTGCACTCCTCTAAGGATGTCCTGGTGGAGGCTTCGGGGGAACTGTCGGCACAGAGTTCTGTCGATGTGGGTGACAGGAAGAGTCATGGTGGCATGAAAATTCCTGAGATAAGAATCGAAGCACCAACTGAAGATGAAGCAGATGAAGAGGATAGTAAGAAAGGTGAGGAGAAAGTTTTTCACATTTCTGGAAGTACAGTTAATTATGTTTATAACACATATAACACACTTATGACAAACTGATGGATATAACAAACTGTTTTTTTATCCCGTCCCTTTGCTGTATATACACTTTATATATGATTATAACTAAATTACGGTTATAACAAACTAGGGGCGGTCGGGGAGCCTAGTGGTTAAAGCGTTGGCTCGTCATGCTGAAGATCCGGTTTAGAATCCGGACATGGGTACAATGTGTGAAGCCCATTTCTGGTGTCCCCTGCTGAGATATTGCTGGAATATTGCTAAAAGCGGCGTAAAAACCAAACTCACTCACTCACTCACTCACTCACTCACTCACTATAACAAACTAAAATTGGTGGTCCCTTTGAGTTCGTTATGACCGTAGTTTACTGTATATCATGAAACCAAATTGTTTTATTTAAGCTATCATTTTATCCAGTATATCTTAATTTTAATAACTTTTGTTGTAAGATTTCTTAATATAACATTGTCTTTGATTTTGGTCAAAATTAAGAGTTGTACGGTATCTATCCAATACAATTTTAGCTCCCATGACAGAAAGTTAAGTGCACTTGTAACTTGACCTGTTTGCCTGGCGTCCGGTGTCTGATTATCAAAACAGCTACCATGGAAGCCAATTTGAACAACCGTTTTATTTCCTTTAGTCTTAAGAAATTAAAAGAATTGGTTCTCAGGCAATGGCTTTTGAAAATGTAGTGTGGGTGGGTGGGCAGTGTTTTTTGTGTGGGGTTAACCAAATAAACAGTTGTTTAACCAGATAAACAGTTGTGTACAATCAACCTGGGAAAGGGCCTCCCTACGTAAATGTATTCTTTGATGAGCAAAATACTGGAATACAGTATTTTACTACCATTGAACTTCGAATATTAAAGGACTTTGTTTGTTTTTTTAAAAATGAAAAATAAAAAGTAAACATGTAGCGAACTTATGATGATGCGGACGGTCCCTGAGAACCAAGTCTGTTATTTTTTTTAGCCTTACACAGCAATTTTTAATTGGAAAATCATATAAATGCGGTTATACTAGTGTGGCTCTACATATGAGTTTCATTGCTTAGGATAACAGCCTTAGAAATTGGCACTAGTCCTGTAGTCCTTGCCAAACTGCCCAATAGTTAAGGTATCATAAGGACTAGTAGAAATTTGCCATTTTAAAGGGTTTTGCTATATGTTATCATTATAAGGACTAGTGGGCTAAAAATGTTAATTTCTACACCTGGGATAATGAAATTACACGTATAGCCTTGAAATGACCTTCCCAATTCATCTATGCTCTGTCTTCTGTCATCAAGCATTCTCGGTTTGTAAGAATAATTAACTGAGGAACCACTGAATGAAGCTGAAACTCTTCCTGCTTGTTCCCAAACATGAACTTCTTCATGTGATTTAAATCTGATTGTCAGTATGTTGTAATCTGATTGTCAATGTCGCCACTACATATGATGTTCCATGGTACATTCATTTTTGTGGATTAAGAATTCAGATTTGTCAATTTGGCCGAAATATATGTGAAGAAAATATTTCACAGCAACTCAAGTACGACAAATAAACTCAAATAGGACGTTTTGGTATTGGCTTGATAACGGTATAAGGATCTATACCGAAACGTCGCCTTCACAGTAATTAAAGAAGTTGTTATCTGTAAATTGTGTCTACTTTGTCATCCGTCAACTTCTAAGTAATGCCTATCAAACAATTCAACTCAAATATGACATTTTAAACTTTTGACTACCTAACCAGGTGAGCTACTATTTTTGTTTCAACCTCTTTAAAACATGGCTAGAAAAGTAAACGTAGTTAACATAGATTTCAGACTCCTTATAGTTTCTCTCCTTAACAGCAGCATATATTATTGAACATTTGAAATCTAAACCTGCTAAACTACTTATCAGCATGACCAGTGTTTCATCAGCGTTCTAGTCCAAGTACTTTTCCAATACCACAGCATCTGCAAGATGGAAGTTATTGATAGGAGATGACGTTGTAGAGCAGCTGTGGACTATTGAGACGTATATTTTAAAAAGGAATCTCAAAGAAATAGAACACAATCTTGTATAGGGGTATAGATTATGCGTTTGTGGGCACGCTAAAGATTTATTTTCATTCTGCAGGTTTTAAAGGAATAAGTATGTGAAGATAAATCAAAATTGCAAAGTCAGGTTTATGTTAATATTCAACTGAGCACCATACCATGTGGTTTTCGCCAAAGTGGCCCATCAATATTCATTCACCTGATGAAGGAGTAAGGATATATTCCAGAACGTTGTATTCCTCATAATAAAGAAGTTGACATCCAAAAAATCACTTCTTATGGTAATTTAATGTCTAAGAAATGCATCAACGTTAGTTTTCATTCAGCATTAAGTTCACTTGTGGTATATAGTGAGTGAGTTGAGTTTTAAACGCCGCTTTTAACAGTATTCCAGTTATGTCATGGCGTGTCAGCTTAATGTGGGAGGAAAGCCCAAAGTGATGCAGGTCTCAGACGTTTACCACTTCAGTGAAACCCACGAGCACGGGTATCGTGGCGCCTTAGACGACTAGGTCACCCGTTCCCCCTGTGGTATATATAAGACAGATGAATCACACATAACAATGAAGAATGAGGCATGTTTATTTCACGATAAAACATGGCTCCATCTAACATCATTTCTGGATATATCGAACATATGCTCACAAATTGATGATGTCATAAGCTGGACGATGCTATTTTGGAGAGGGTAGTGAGTATGTTTGAGAAAAAACAATATATTCTCATTTTTCATTATTTTGAGGTGTGTGAGAATATTCAGGATGTACAGTGATTCCTCAATTTACTGCTGTCATCGGGGTCCAAGATCCCGACCCCACCTTCTAGGAAAGAGCGTTATACAGATATTCATTGTTGGTGATCTTTTCTTTACCCAGCTGTTCATAAAATGGTCTTATCCAACATTGCCGAGATCAAATTGTATTCAGGGAGCTTGTAAATTGTATAAACATCCTAAGAGAGACTGTTAATAATGTTGATATCTCATAAGAAATAAAGTACTCATGGTGGTTGTTTATCATGTTTATCATACATCATAGCTAAAATGGATAGAATTATCATTAAAACGCCCGTATGTTATCAGAAATGAGCGGGCCACTGTAACTTGATAATGCCCTCATATTGCTTGAAGACGGGCCATTATCACCCGCGTTGTTAGGTGACATCAAAGGATAGGATAGGTGACGTCACGTTCAATGGTGACGTCATCTGGTTTGTTCTATGACGTTTCCATAATTGAAATTGTAAAAGTGGGTCAGTGACATTCGTGTTGATTGCAGTATATGTTTCAAAACCGATATTCTTTTTCTTTATATTTGATAACAAATTCCATCCATTTTAGCTGTAATAACGGTAATGCTATTTTTCAGGGCATTATCATTTACAGAAGCCCTCAATCTTTTCAGTTAATGGAAAACCTCGGGCTTCTGCAAATGATAATGCCCTGAAAAATAGCGTTACCCTTATAATAAAACACTGTGCCCATCATTGTCTATTCTCCCTGCAGTGTTTTATTGGTAGATAAACAACTACCCTTCATCGTTTCTTTCTTAAATAATGAAAATACTGTTCAGACATCTTTAGACTGTGCGGAGTAGGTCTGTTGTTTCCGAATACTCCTGACTTTAGCCCCTTGGGAACTCGGGGTAGAATGTGTCCCCAGTACCACATTGCTTGTCGTAAAAGGCGACAAAATTGGGCAACCCGTTTGCCGTGGGTTGAGCCCCTGCGAGGGTATGTAAGACCACATCTTCCAAGGTATATTTATATCTACCTATATTTTTGTGGCAGCATATTTGTTCAGTTTTAATCTCAACAATCACCAGTAACTAAAGGAAAGGTATAAATTCTGCTGGGGAACCATGCCAGTAGCAGAAGTATCGTAAGTGCCCAATGTTCCACGTATGGAGACCTTTCCTTTGTCGCTGGCGATCTATAGCCCCATTTGTATATCGTGTCGTTGAAAATAATCAGATATTTTTAATGTTCTACAAGTAGTTTTAAGTCAATCTGTGATATTATACTGTCTGATTACAATTTAAAATTTTTTATTGTATAACTTGTTCAAGTCGCATTATGGCTGAAATAATGCCGACGTGACTTAAAATTCAACTAACTCCTGACCTGAGGACCCATGAAGATTCCGGGGTAGAATAGGTCTTCAGCAACCCATGCTTGTCGTAAAAGGCGACTATGCTTGTCGTAAAAGGCGACTAACGGGATCAGGTGGTCTGGCTCGCTGACTTGGTTGATGCATGTCATCGTATCCCAATTGTGTGGATCGATGCTCATGATATTAATCACTGGATTATCTGGTCCAGACTCAATTATTTACAGACCGCCGTCATATAGCTGGAATATTGCTGAGTGCAGCGTTAAACAACAAACCAACCAACCAACCAACCAACCTGACCTGAGATGATGAGAATATGGCTGAAGCTGGGGAAGCTGTTGACTGGGAGGCTGTGCTATGTGGAGTACACCATGCTTGTCTCCCTTGTTCCGATTTATTGAAATACAAATCACCTCAAAACCATAGTGTTAGTTATGACTATAATAGTATGAATTGGGTTTCTATTTCTCTGTGTGACATTTTCTGGTGATCTAATAGAACAACTATACACCTGCAGATATTTGATTGCTTCAGGTAAATGTTTGGATGATCTCTATGCCAAAGTGATGAAGGATCGGTCTAAGGGAGACGACCCAGATACCTCAAAAGATGAGACGAATCTCAATTCATCAACAAGCCAGTCTTCAAAGGGAGAGAACTCTTTCACCACTCCGTCTGAAGAGGAGCTGTTGGGAGCCTGTGGAGGCTGTGAGGAGCTCTTGGACACAAATGATGAAGGGCCGCCGCTTCCATCTCGAAGATATGAAAGGTGAAAATGAAACCATGTTTACATTTTCCTTTGATTAATCAATTTCCTATACTGAAGGTAATTTTCAAGAGGTAGTAAAATCCCTAATTCACAACTGAAGTTCATCAGATAATTGACCACCACTGTGGTCTTGTGGTAGAGCATTCGCCTGGAGAACTGAAGGTCTGGGGTTCAATTCTTGGCCGCGTCATACCAAAAGACGTTAAAAGATAGTATTTGTTGTTACTCTGCCTGGTGCTCGGCATTAAGGGGCTGAAACAAGGACAGGTCGGCTCGGAGTCAGTATACTGTGTCTGAGTGGGGTATTCATGTCAAACTGTGGCATGGTATCTCAGTGGGCTAGCACTATAAAATCAGCTAGCACTATTAGTACAAGCTGCCACACACACACACTCACACTTGTATGCACGTCGCTATGTAAGTGCAATAATCTTGGACGCTACGTTCAGCTCATCAGATAAATTTGGCTGTGGTTAAAACTATCGGTTGTCATGCAAATGCCCTCTTCAGGTATCCTGTCGATATTTTGCTGGAATATTGCAAAAAGCGGCATTAAATATACTCCCTCACTGCCCCCTCAGATGAACGCCTCTGTGGTCTAGAGGATAGAGCATCTGCATGGAGAGTGAAAGGTTGGTGGTTCAATCACAAGCTGCGTCATACCAAAATATGTTAAAAGATGGTACTTTTTATTACCCTGCCTAGCTCGACATTAAGGGGATAAGTCAGTATACTGTGTGTGAGTAGGGTATTCATGTTAAATTGCGGCATGGTGTCTCAGTACTATAAAACCGGCATTAGTCTGGACGAGTATAAGCAACCACATATGCAGCACACACACACACACACACACACACACACACACACACACTCACACTCACACTCACACTCACACACACACACTCTTACCACACACACACACACGCAAAAACACACACACTTACCACACACACGCACACACACACACACACTCACACACACACACACACACACACACACACACACACACACACACACACACACACACACACACACACACACACACACACACACACACACACTTGCATGGACGAGTTGAACAGTAACTAATATAGGTTGTCTAGACTTGGGACATGGGGTAGCCTAGTGGTTAATGCATTAGCTCATCACATCGAAGGCCCGTGTTCGATTCCCCACATGGGTACAATGTGTGAACCCCATTTTCTGGTGTCCCCGCTGTGATATTGCTGAAATATTGCTGAAAACGGCGTAAAACCATACTCACTCACTCACTTACTCTGGGTGTTCCTGCTGTATTACTGGAATGTTGCTGAAAGTGGCGTAACAGAAGAGATGACTGTTTTGGTTAGCAAGGTGGGTTTTTGTTAAGTATAAGCCCACTCAAGACTCTGATATTGTGAAGGTTACAGTAAGTTATAAAGCAAGGTGTCTTCATTAGCATGAGGTATCTATGCAGTGGTGGAATTTGCAGAAACCCTGAAGCTTGGCTAATTTTGACTGAAAAATATAAAAGTAAAAAAATCAAACACAGCTTTTCTTTTCCATTACTTGTAGGAAAATATAAGCTAACAGTAGGGGGGACGAGTCCAGATTTACTACCCAGGTACCCGACCCCCTATTACCCGCCCCTATCCGGGTACCCAACCCCCTATTACCCTGCCCCTACCCGGGTACCCGACCCCCTATTACCCAACCCTACCCGGGTACCCACTGTAAGTCTCAAGTTGTTTACAAAATGTCTGATTGGGAATTATTTTACCGCAGCCCTGGCCAAAACTATTTAGATACATATGTATAAAACAATCAGATCATGCGTACATTGAAGTTGACTGAAGCTTTATCTTTACTCAAATATATTCAAGTCAAAAGGATTGTGTGCATCATCAGAAAGAAATGCGAACATTAGTGACTTGTAGTGTAACCACTGAGCTATGGCGAGTTTTTGTCTTTAACAATACATCATGTAACTAACCACAGGTCCGGGTAGTACTGTGGGTACCCGGGTCCTACTCAGGACCCACCCGACCCGAGTACACAAATTACCTGATTTTAGGCAGTAACGACTTAGGCCAGATGACCCTCTTATCAATATGTTTTATGTTTAAATGCAAACTTGTAACTTAAACTGGAATATACAGGATAGATGAATACATGTATTTCCTAGTTGTGAAGGTAAATAGTTGAAACAAAATTCTCATGTTGCCATTATTTCCACATTTCGAAACTAATCACCCAGTATATTTGTAATGAATTCATAATGGATATTTTGAAAAAAAGTCCCTTATACATCAACACCAGATAATAATTGGTATTTTAGCTGCTGAAACTAAAATCTTGTTATGGCCAGGCCACTAAAATGTTTTGTTTTCCAAGTGTGCTAAATTTTGTACAAGTTATTTTTTATGTTTTAAAATGTTTAAAATGTCTTTGATTGGAAATACACTTTTTGAACATCTTTTCGTTTGTGTTTTAAGAATTCTTTAACACTGAGAATTTCTTTAAATAAATTTTACCTCCTTCCTCTTGGCATTTGGTTCTGTGAATCAAGATGTTATTTTTCAGAACCAGTTTGATATTATTATTTTAGGACAAAAATAAATTATTCTGCAATTTACAGGAGTAGATTGTAATTTATAATCTCAGCGTTTTTAGTTTTATTCATGATTTTACTTTAATCTTAGAGTAACAAAGCAATTAAAACTAAACAAACTCATTTTTATGCCAAGTGTTATTTTTTCTTGACCCTGAAAATATGCGAAAGACAATTTCCCCCTATATCATCTATCTAAAGAAATTCTGATGCAAGAAACATTGATAATTTAGTTTCATTTATTTCTAATCTGTGAACAATATTGATTTTTTAAGAAGATTTCCTTAATTTTCTTTGATCTTTATAACACTCAAACTGTCTCTCAGAGTAATTTAAACTCGGACTAGACCCAGGCCTTGGCAAAGTGGCAAACCTAGCAAGTTGGATTCGAGGTTGAATCAATTTAATTGTTAGTGATCACCCTAATGTCATGAAGACAGTAACTAAGTTTGACACAAGGCACCAGCTGCTTGTCTTCACTCATACTGTAATAGGCAAAACTCTCCATGGCGTGTAGTCTCCATTTAAAAATATTTTATTCAAATTTGGGCAAATATTGATTTTTACCTCCATGGCTTAATTCTTGTCCTTGGATAGCACTTGAATATCTTCGCTATTGGACAGATTCACACTTGTGCCGTGTAATTCTCCTTGTAATCAATTCTGACTAATTAGAGCAGTGTATTGATTTTGTCAAACTTCTGTTTTGGCGATGGATGAATTGGTCATCACTGGGATGAGTCATAAATGCCTTCGCTCACAGCTCTCGCCAATTGTCAGGATCTCCAGGTTTATTGATTTTCGTGTGCATGGAAATGCTTGGTGCAATTGTTGGTATTGTGTGTTGCCTGAAATATCTGCAGTGTTTTAGACGTGATATTACCCTTTAGATGACCGGATAGCGTTGTTGCAGACACTCTGCACCTGGCTCATCCTCTTCCTTAAGTGCATTGTTGGTAAGTAGGGCTGGTTTTGGGGAATTAGACTGGTACAAGGGAAGACAAGGTCGCAGTGGTCTGCTGTCCCATGCTGAGCTGTAAGCCTGATTGTTCTGGTGGTATTTCATTGTCTCAGACAGTACTCAACAGTTTTCTAATGTGTGGAGAATGCAGTTTAATGTGACATGGAAATCCAAACTTCGGGGGATTTTTCTCGTTTATGATTATTTTTTTATTCGTGTTTTTGAAGAAAGATTGTGCTAATCTTATTTCAATATGCAATTTGGGTGAATTGGACCCATATAACTGTTGTGCAAGTTCATGAGATGTTGTTGATGGGAATTGCAGTGCTGATAGGGATGAGAGTTTGGTGGAGTTGGTACAATCTTGGTTGAAGTCAAAATGTAAAAGCTCTTGGGTAATATTTGTACAATAATTCATGCTGAACTGTAGTTGGTTTGTGAGACTTGAGTGTATGTTAATCCTGTCAACTTGGTTCACAACAATAGATGGATTGCTGTGTTAAATGGCTATAGCTGTAGGTGGATGTGATGACTGTGTTATGTGACTATAGCTGTAGGTGGATGGCTGTGTTATGTGACTATAGCTGTAGGTGGATGTGATGGCTGTGTTGTATGACTATAGCTGTAGGTGGATGTGATGGCTGTGTTATATGACTATAGCTGTAGGTGGATGGCTGTGTTGTATGACTATAGCTGTAGGTGGATGTGATGGCTGTGTTATGTGACTATAGCTGTAGGTGGATGGCTGTGTTATATGACTATAGCTGTGGGTGGATGTGATGGCTGTGTTATATGACTATAGCTGTAGGTGGATGTGATGGCTGTGTTATGTGACTATAGCTGTAGGTGGATGGCTGTGTTATATGACTATAGCTGTAGGTGGATGTGATGGCTGTGTTATATGACTATAGCTGTAGGTGGATGTGATGGCTGTGTTGTATGACTATAGCTGTAGGTGGATGTGATGGCTGTGTTATATGACTATAGCTGTAGGTGGATGGCTGTGTTATGTGACTATAGCTGTAGGTGGATGTGATGGCTGTGTTATATGACTATAGCTGTAGGTGGATGTGATGGCTGTGTTATGTGACTATAGCTGTAGGTGGATGTGATGGCCGTGTTATATGACTATAGCTGTAGGTGGATGGCCGTGTTATATGACTATAGCTGTAGGTGGATGTGATGGCTGTGTTATATGACTATAGCTGTAGGTGGATGTGATGGCTGTGTTATGTGACTATAGCTGTAGGTGGATGTGATGGCTGTGTTATGTGACTATAGCTGTAGGTGGACGGCTGTGTTATGTGACTATAGCTGTAGGTGGATGTGATGGCTGTGTTGTATGACTAAAGCTGTAGGTGGATGTGATGGCTGTGTTATGTGACTATAGCTGTAGGTGGATGTGATGGCTGTGTTGTATGACTAAAGCTGTAGGTGGATGTGATTGCT